ACTACTACTACGACTACTACTAGTATATACTACTACTATATACTACTACCAGTAGGACTATGTTCGTACTTTAGGATAATAGTACTACTAGCACTACTACAGCATTCCTGAAGTGCAGGCCGGTCTGAATCCCTTCGCCGTCTGCATGACGAAGCCCGGCGAAGCCGCCAGTGGCAGCCAGAAGAAAGGATTTGACAAAGTCCTGGATGTCTGTGCCAAGGCCAGAGGACCGGAATCCGTGCTGGCTTCGTAGCTTGCGAAGATTTACGGGCTTCGGAGTGATGACAAATCTTTGGGTTTTTTTTCCGTGCATGAGGCATTGATGGATGAGGACAGCAAGTGCTTGTATCGATCCCTTCGTCAACTGTCGCAGCCCTTCTGCGAAACGTGCTTGTGGCTCGTGTCTTGTCTGCAAGCAGCGAAAGACCTAGCTTCCTTTTTCTATTGCCTGCCATGTTGTCGACCCTGCACCGAAACTGAGCAAGAAAACAAAGCGAGACTGTATGCCCTGCACGACCACACCCTCTTCGTGAACTCTGCTGGCTGGGAGAAGAAGTTGAAAAAGGTGGTGCAGGAAGGGTTCTCCAGCTCCTTGCTCGAAGCCCTCGACATCCCGCTGGACGTCGCATTGCCCCAAGCCGCAAGCACAGCCACTCGTCTGCAACATCCCAACATTCCCAGAATCAGAAGTTGAGTCGGAAGCAGCCACCTGTGGTTTCTCCATTTGGTGAGTCTCCATGAACTCGTGCTGTCTCCGACGACCGACTGCAATTTCTTATCTGATCGTCTGGAGAAGTAAAGGTTCCCCGAGACAGCAGCCGGCGGCCTAACCGCACGGCACTGTGGTAATCTTCCGCAGGGTGACCTTGTCGCCTCGCTAACTGTCTGTGTGTGTGTGTGTGTCGGGGTCCCTGGCAGGAGCGGAGTTTTGAGGGATGCTAAAGCCCTGAACCCTAAAACCGTAGACCCTGAACCCTAATTCTCTAGAAGTGCGGATTAGCCGCGGCTGTTTACGGTTTAGGGTTTAGGGGTTTAGGGCTTAGGGTCTATCCAGCATGTAATTGCTCCTCATGCAGCTCCCTAATCTTACATCTAAGCTCATCTTTCTAAGGAGAGCCGCAGGAATTTTTCTTACAACGGGCTGGGAAGGCCTGGGCTACAGAATTAGGACCGATATCTCATCATTGAATCATGTCCGTCCTAAACCGTGAAGAAGTCCGAAGTAAACAGTCAAAAGCGCCAAGTCCGATTGTTTCTTTCGTCCGCCCGATATTAGCAGTCCAATCGGTTTTTCCTTGATATTTTCTGCAATGATCGATACAGGGATGAGGGAAGGGATTTGTACTGCTGAAGTACCAAGTTCTGCGAGTCCACTGGGGCCTGTCGAAGATTTTGTTTTTTTGCCATGATCCGTGCAAGTTCTACGGTGTAATCGATTGTGAAAGAGTCAACGCCAGTGCTCCTTGCTGAAGAAATCGTTCGGTTTCCAGTCCTTGCCCTGCTTTGCCTACAGCACGTCATACTCAGGTGCTACAGGTGACCTCACGCCGATGTGCTCCGAAGGAGGATCTGCTGCTAGATCATCTTGAGGCCGTGCTCAGCACGGCCTTCGAACTGCAGATGTACGGCCTCTACCTGCAGTCGGCTCCGGCAAAAGTGGCCGGACTGCTCGCATCGGAGGACTCCGTGCCGAATGCGAAGAACGAGAAGCAGAAACTTTGCCGTGAACTTCGAGAAGAGTGGGAGCTCGTGCTTCACCTGGAAGCTGCCACGGACACGGCAGTGCTCAAGAAGCAACGGTGCAGCTACACGGAGCAGCAGATCTATCGCGAGCTCATGACCCAGTTGGAGGTTCACAGCTTCCAGTCGTGTCCTGCTGTGGAGGACTTGATCCGCTCCTGGTATCCTCCTCTGGCCTTCTCAGCCAATTGCGAGACATGCTTCAACTGCTTGGAGGATGATGTGAAGCGAGGCCAGAAATCTCAAGGCCTTTCCTTGACGGGCTTACAAGCCCTCGCCATCCGGAGTGTGCAGCACAGGGTCCTCTCGGCTGAAAACTCAGCCTCAAAGGTGAGCCTGACAGATGAGGATTGGGAAGGGAATGAGATTCGAGGCCTCAAGCCCAAGATGTTCCAGCCTGACAGCTGCAAGTTCAGCAGCACACTGGGAAGCACTAGTATAGCCTATAAGATTTTGCAAGTACTTTAAACAAAAATCCTGTGCAACTTTGCAGGGTTGATCCAGAGGACCTTGGGCGATACTGTCTGTAGAACAAGCAGAGGAAGGTATGATTATGCACAACTTGAGTTTAGGGATAGGGTTTAGGGTGTTGAGGGTTTAGGGTTGTGGGTTTAGGGTTTAGGGTTTAGGGTTTAAGGGTTTCAGGGTTTAAGGCTTTAGGGCAGTTTAGGGTT